CTTAATGTATAATAATAGTATACTGTACTAAAAAAAGAGAAGAAGAAGAACTTTTTCAAATCACTTCCTTATAAATTTTTCCAGACAGAACATCCGTAGCACGGTGTCGTGGACAAAAATTTTTTTTCAGCCGAACTGAAATTTCATTTACCCGGATAGGGCTATACCCCTATTTACTATTATGCTGGACCTGGCACTAGGTAGTTCGGTTAGAGACTATGCTATTAAGATCTTGGGAGGTGGTTGTAATGAGAGAAATAAGAAAGGGTGGAATTTCAGAGCACATTGGCTACTTAGGAGGGTTTTTAAAAAATTCTGTATGAACATTGAAGAGTATGGAGATGAATCTTGGAACAGGGAACTTTGAATGAAGTACGGAACCATTTTGCAGTCATTGTAGTTATAGCAGGGTATGTTCAAGAAGCCAAGAAGAAGAATTGGAGAGTTTGGTTGGTGTGGGGGATGTAGAGGAGATGAATAGGAGATATTGGGTCTGAATCCAGATGAAGCTATTGGCTGCATTTGCTCTCGTATGATGTTGCGTATATTGCATATTCGAGTGTGGATGCTGTGTGCTGCAATGGCACTATGTATGTGTATCTATATGTTGTTATGGCTGTTTATTTCAGGCCCGTCAATTTTCTGATGAGCTGCTCGTTATTTTTCAACGAGTCTGAATCCTGATAGCCTACCTGGGTGACATCTTCGTAGTCTATGTTTGTGACGTCGTTGTCGCTGTTTGCCTGTTCTGACGAGTTATCGTTGTCATTTAGCTTTTGCAACTTCTTTGAGATGGGTTCTGGCGAATCTCTGCCTGCCAAACGTCCATATTTTCTCTTTTGTTTCCCTTTTCTTGGGGAGGGCAACTTGACCTTGTCGTCCTTCTTGGGTGTCTCGAAGTGGTCATTGCTCAAGTTTTTGATGTAGTCGAGCAATGTCTTTGGTTTTGCTGTGTCATTAGGAGCAAACAAGCACCACAGAAGATCGCAAATATCTGGCAAGACAAGATTGTGAACAGTGGATGGAGTTGACCGCTCCAATATTTCCCATATGTATGCTATCGACACTATTGGAATCGACCATTTCTTTGCGGCATTGATCTTATTTTTTGACGAAATCAATGACACTGATGAGTTTCCAGATTGGTAAATAGGGCAATTTATGAAGTCAATTGCCTTGTATTGGTAAAGTTTGGGTGAATTTTTGAGTAAAGTAGACTTGAATAGATTAATGTTAATTATTAACAAATCACGCGAGGACGTCAATGCTGGACAAAACTCAAAGTTTAGCAAATTTATCAACTTCTCCAAATGAAGCAATTCAATCCCAGTAAAGCCGGTGATACAGACCTTGAATTTGTTGGTACATGGTTTCAAGCCTTTTAATGGCTGAACCCATCTGTCCATTACAACCTTGTTGTAGTATATTGATCTTTCTATGAACCATTCAGTTACGATCTTGATTTCACCATTATTTATACGGCTCTTTAAAGGGAGATTTTTCAACAAGGACGACGATTGAGATCCTATTTTCACTGGTAGCACAACATGCGTTATTGTCTGGTTTGAGGCTTCTTCGCTTATAGTCCCATTATGAGAAGTAATAATTTGATTCATTACTGTTGCCTCATGAGCAGTGAACCCCACCACAAAGAAATCAAAGCCCTCGAAAAGAGTAGATTTCTTTGCAGTATTCTTATTTGTTAATTCATTTATGTCAACATCCAACGCTTCATGATCTTCCTCTTCTTCCATCACCTCGTCCCAAGTGGTATCTTTTGCTGGTTTAGGACGCGTTTTGCTCGTATTATTCATAATTTCATTCCATATTTTGGGATCTTTCTTAAGAGACCTATTAATAGTCTCGGCTTTAGTATTCTTGTCCTCTATTAATTCGTCAACCATATCATTTTTTGTCTTATACTTAAACCATTCATCCCACACATTACATCCATTCAACCTTGAGTCTAATGCATAATCCCGAAAATACAATGCCGCTGATCTCAATACTGAGTCAAGTATCCATATAGGATGAACTACGGGGATTCCCCATTCCACGGCTTTAGTGTATCGTTTTCCAGTTTTCTCAGTAGTTATGATGCATGAGTTTGACATTGTTAAAGAATCTGTAGCTTTTCCCCCATTCTCAGATATCAACTGAATCAACTTCTCTGTATTAAACTCTACTCCCGAAAATTCATCTCTGAATGGCTTCTTCAATAAATGTGTAAACGATTCAACTCTTGACAAACATATACTTAGGTTATCAAAGATCGGTAATAAATAATTGTCAATATCAAGTAAGTGCTTGGTATCTTCACCATTGATCCAGTGGTCATAAATCTTCAATATTGCGTCTGGTTTTAAGAATTTGACATCAAATCTATTTTGAATACAGTAGATATATTTTTCAGTCTTTCTGTCGCCAACGATTAGATAATTCACATCGCTCATCAAATCGCTGTAATGTATACCACCAAGTGCCGTTAACTTTTGAGAAATATCCTCTCGTAGCTTAAGTGGGATAGCTGTACAGCAAAAGGTTAGCCCTTGGAAGGGTTTCGACATAGTTAGCTATAGTATTATGAATTAATTAAACATGTATTTATATGTAGGAGATTTAAGTAGATATTTCTCAAATCATCAACACTATTTTATATACAGAAACAAGCATTTCTGGACACTTTTCATCAATTACGTCGATTTAAAATACTATCATCCTCTAATTAAGGTCAATCGCTTTGAAACAACGTAATCACTTAGGTGGAAATAGAATGACTGTGTTTAATATGGTATTCTTGTATTTTCAAATACCATCTATCGATAAGCAATAATTTAAACGATTCTACAACTCTGCATAACAATGCTATTCGATTGTGATAAGGGCTACTACGATAAATATATAGTACATGTTTTACATATGAATTTGTTGCCAAACTGGGTTCTTAGTTGTCTTAAAAGGGATTTATTATCTTGTAGTGAGTTTTCTCAATTTGCTGCAAATTATCAAAAAATTTACCAAATTGTACAATCGAAATAGATTGGGCTTCATAACTGGATATGAATGAGTCTTGACTCAATCCTTTATTACAGTATATTACATTATAATTTCATAGGTGTGTAAGCTTATTAAAGAGATTCTTCTACCTAGTGTCGCTCTCAAGAATCGAAGTTCGTTAGAGTTTAACTGTCACTTCTAAGAAACTAGGACCCCTTAGTGTATATACTCTTCTACATCAATGAATATCACCCCACGTTCCTGAAGAACCAATAGTGCTGGTGCAGCATTCAGTTTGTACATTACGGAATCGGAAACGCCGAGGTCCCTGAGAGGCTCATTTCTAAGACCACATTATAATACGATCCTACAGCAATCCGCCTCTACTCATCAAATTTTGGAGTAAGGCACAGAGGGTGCAATTCTTGTTAATTCCATATATTGTTTTCAAGGGATGAGCATATTTCTCCGGTAAAAATTGCATGCTTTATCTATTGTCGCCATGTAGATTCTACTATTGGTTGCCATTTACTTCTCAGTATAAAAGGTACAATTGTTTTGTTTGCTGTTCCTATCGAGATTATTGTACTACAGACATTACAATAAACACATCCCACCCCTAATATATATTTTTTGTATTCTGCAGATTTGGCTTAAGCGTACCATAACATACTAAAATTATCAAATCGAAACTTACACCAAAACAGATATTAATATCTTGCCAAACAAAACTGCGCGATATAACCAGATACCCATTGCGCGCTATTATGCCGTGTTACACTAAAACTGTACTCCGTAAATTGTCTTCGGTCGCCTCAATGGGGTCTCATGGATCTCAAGGTGACGTACTTGCATCCAATAATAATCTTCTAAGTCAGCAGCATGGATTATATGACATCCTTGTGCTACATACGGGGGCAACTGCTTGCCCAATTGGTCATTTCCGGTTTTGCCAAGATACAGGAGATTTATTTATAGAAATCTCTATATATAGAAATTACTCGATTTTTACATTACGCTTCCCGATTAGGATGATTGTTGATTAGTATTCGACCAAAAAGGAGGCTTGTTCCTAAAAAGTTCATCTAGCGCATGTTGGTTTTATGTTTCTTGTGACAAACAATTCCGATATGCCAAGGGCTCAAATACCGAGAAATTTCAAAATTTTGATGAGGCTGCCCACTCCCTGGCGGCGTAATTGAGATACCGCATTACCGCAAAATTTAGGCTTGAGATCTGATTCCAGTAGTCTAAAGTTTGTTCGTATGCCCGTTGAAATCATAATAATTTCTTTCAAAAACCACCAAATAGGGGTAATTGAAGCTTGTAGATGTAATTCAACATTTTTTTGTTGCTGAAAACACAAGAAAAAAAGTGCTTCATCGGGTTTATGGTATAGTAGTTAATTTCATAGGGCATCTTATTGTATGGGGGATCCTAACGATGTATCGTAAGTACAATAGGCAGTTGATAGAGCATTACGTAATCGTTTGTTTTAGTATGCTGAAATTTACTAGATTTATTATGACTCTCGTTTTTTCGTGCTAAGCATGGCCCGAATTACCCAATATCGTAATTCGACATCCGAAAAAAAAACAAGACAGGCATACAAAATTTTCGAGGAATTGATGAGGGAAAAAAGTATATAAACGGGGGCAAATTCCACTGAACCACATATTTTGAAAATTCTTCTTTATACTATATTCCACATATTTTATTCATTCGCTCATATATAAAATGCAATACTCCACTGTTTTCGCTTCTGCTTTATTAGTCGGTTCCGCCGTTGCTGGTTACTCTAACGGTACCACCGTCACCACTGACGTCACCGTTACTGACTACACCACCTACTGTCCATACTCCACTGTCGTTACCGTTACCAAGTGTGACCAAGACAAGTGCCACCCAACCGCTATCACCGTTACTGAAGCCACCACTTTAACTGTTACCGGTGAATGTGTTGTCCCAACCACCTACACCACTGAAGTCTCCACCAAGACCGAAACCGTCTGTGACACCTGTGAACACCCAACCACCGCCGCTGCTGAATCTACCACTGCTGCTCAATCCACCGTTGCTGCTGAATCTACTTCCCCAGCTTCTTCTGCCGCTGCTGTCACCTCTTTCGAAGGTGCTGCTGCCAGAAACGTTGCCGGTGCTTTCGCTGGTGTCGCTGCTGTTGCCGCTGCTTTATTATAAGTGTGATAGACTCTTTTGTTTATTGATTGCTTTTACTAAAGTGTTTTAAAATTTCTTAAATACAATGTTCGTTCTAATCGTTTCGATTTAATTTCTTGGTTTTATATTTGTGTTCGGTAATTTTTAATTTTTAATTCACATATTCCCTTAAGAATCAAGATTGTAGAGTAAGTATTTCGAAGTCATCATAGGCTTAACGTTTGTAGAATTACACCGTATTGTTAGGTTTTCAAAGAAGTATAAGGTATTATTTTCGATTTGAAATATGGTTAATGAAGCCAACTATTCATACACTCTTTGAATCTAAGTTTGTTCAATAGTAGCCATTGACGATCTAAGATCGCCTGTTTGGATCTATATAGTTTAAGCATCATGGTGAAAATCGTGCGACATTTTTATAACTATCGTTTTCATGTCGCAGTATAATTGAATCACATATTGCATATTGAATACAAGTCTTGTAAGCCTACTAAAGCGAATGAAATGACAGATGAAGAACAGAATAGATTCCCAAAGACTTCAAGGTTTGCAAATAATTCTGATCTACCAGATTTGCGGTTCTATAACCATGTGAAAGACAATAAGCAAGTTTTGGTAAATAATCAATTGAATAATATAAATTACAATCCGTTTAATTCTCCTCAACAGAAGACCAAAGCTAATTTTCCTATTGACTTCTTTCATTTACAGAATAAGATCACTCTCTCAGATATTCCATTGACAGACTCCATTCCCATTTTTCAACTCAATGATGCTCAGTTTCAAGATCCTATAAAATTTATTGACAGCGTCCATGAAATGGGAGCGAAATATGGCGCTATTAAACTTGTTATACCAGAGAATACCGAAAACTCATTCAAATCAAATTTTCAAATTAACTCAGACTTATTCTGGTTTCAAACAAACAAGTTATTGAATAATTCGTCGAATAACGAATTAGAAAATAGATTGAAATTTCATCAAGAATTAATAGAATTTCATTTGAAGCATAAAAAGGAAGATAATTCAGCAGGAGCTCTGAAAACAGGAGCCTCAACAACGGAAGTACCAACAGCAGAAGTACCAAGAGCAGAAGTTCCAGCAGCAGAAGTTCCAACAGCAGAAGTACCAGCAACAGAAGTACCAGCAAAAGAAGTACCAGCAACAGAAGCGCCGCTTGATAATGTGGAACCTGCGAAAGAATTGCTAGGACCTCCAACTCCTCATATCTTACGTACAGACACACCTGATTCAAATCCGAATACTAAGGATTCCACACCTACTCCTCTCAACGAATCCAAAAAACCTAAGCCGAATCTACCTTCCTTCTTAAATAAATTGCCTATGATTGACAAAAGACCGTTGGATTTGTACAAACTATTCAGATCCGTGTTAATTAGAGGGGGCTTTATTGAAGTTGTAAATAAAAAATTATGGGCGCAAATAGGCAGAGAGTTAGGTTACAAAGGAAAAATTATGACGAGTCTAAGTAGCTCTTTGAAGTCTTCATATTTAAAGATTTTATATCCTTTTGAAATGGCTTTGAATAATAGAAAGTATGAATTAGTTGGGATCGTCGCTCCAACAGAAGAATCAGCTACGGCAGTAAATAACGTGAGGATAGAGAATTCTGATCACCTGAAGAGTGATATTTCGAAATTGGATGATGATGTTCCTTTAATAATTGGCTCTTCTAAAGACTTCAAAAGATCGATTAAATTGAAATCAGCAAAAGGGTTTTTACTTAATTCCCCCCATCTCATAGACGTCAAACAGCCCAATACATTTATAAGCAAAGGAATCGGCGAAGGAGAAATTGATACTACTAAGAAACGTAAGAAAAATTCAGGTGAATCAGCTACTACACCAATAACTCCTGCTTCTCAAATAAACCACGGTCTAAAATCCATTATAAATAATCACTCCGTATATCAAGATGATTCTCGATTGGCTTTAAACGGAAAATCTGCATCTATCTATAACCTTAGACAATTTATGGAGAAGGATTTGAAATTTCAGGAGTACATAATTCAGCAAAACAAAAGCTATTTTAATAAGGTCAATGTGAATTCGAACGATAAATTTTTTTACCAATTCAATGATCAAAATATTTCTGTGATGGAGAGAAATATAATAAATTTAGATAAATTCGAGAAATTGTATTGGTCTTTTACAATGAATAGGAAATTCAAGGAGAATGGTAATAATAGTGATAATAAAGACAGTGATATATGGAATGATGGCCTAGAGCTTGAAAATGGTACTAACTTACCTTCATTTATTAACGGCTCTGGTTTTGCTAGAATTGGGGATGATCTTATTAACCACAAGAATCATTTGACTAGTGTGAATGTTAATAACGTCAATTCTACGAATAATATAAATGGTTCTAATACCGCGAATAATTCTGCTTCAAAGCATAGTACTCCTACAAATAATATTGAAACTAATACGTATAATTCACCCGACTATATTAATAACTTGATAAAGACATCATTAAATCCTTGGAACTTACATAATTTACCAATTTTACCAAATTCATTGTTAGGTGGCTTATCAGAAAGTGATTTGAATAACCAAGACCTTATCAATCCAACCTTAAGTATTGGCATGACATTTAGTACTGAAAACTGGAAATGTGAAGATCATTTTACACAGCTCTGTAATTACCAATTTTTTGGAAGTTATAAAAAATGGTATTTTATACCTGAGCTGGACTTTGAGAAGTTTGAACAATTAGTCAAAGAAGTCAACAATGAGAATAAGGAAAGAGTTAATATAAATAACGATGACTGGAATATAGAGGAATTATTGAAATACTTCAATCACGGTGAAGATACGACAAATATAGAATATGAATCATTATTAAATTCGTTAGAAAACATGATAAATCCCTCGCCAGATTATAATAATTCAAGAATGCAACATACCAATCCTTTGTTTCAAAAGATCATAGATTACAGAAATCAAAGAAGAGAAAAACTAAATTACAATCAAGAATTTATGATAACCCCCGCGTTGTTAGAACAGAGAGGAATACGTTTTACCACGACAATTCAAAAGCCTGGTGAATTTATCATTAAATTTCCCAAGACTTATTCTTCCACTATATCATTTGGCTTAAATTTGAGCGAGGAGGTCAATTTTGCTACTAAAAATTGGCTAAATTATGCACTTGAAGGTGAAAAATGGCTAAATAAGCAATCAATATTGCCAAATTTCCTGATATTCAAACTATTAATAAACCTAGCCCAGTTATATGAGTCCGGAAATAATAATGTCTTTTTTAACTCCGATATATACGAGCAAAGTTTACATATGTACAGTTCGTTGTACAAACAAGAATTGAAGTTGCGGGATAGAGTACGAAAAAAGTTTACCCATATAAGAGAACTTGTTATTGATGACAAAACATTCGGTGATATAGACTCTACCGCCGATGATGACTTGGCGAGCACTTTCCCTTCAAAAATTGTTTTGACAGATGTGAAATTAAAGCAGACATTTATTCTTTCGTTGCCTAGATTCTTAGAATACGTTGAGTTGAGTGAGCTTGAAAATGACTATGATATTAAAAGTGTCCCAAAATTGATAGGGAATCCTCATTTGAAGATTGAATTGCATTTGTTTTACTCAGATGATAAGTTGAAATCATTTTACAGAATACTCAACACCTATTCTATTGACTATGATGAATGGATGCAAAATTACGAAAGATTAATGAATGAAAATTCAGAACTTTCCTTGAGAGTGTACAAAAGTTTACTTATTGATGGTGAAAAGATCTATTTAGCCTTATCTTCCTCAAATTTTTTTCATGTATTCAATAAGCCGAATAATGAACCGGAGGATTATGAAACGATTAAGTTAAATACTTTCAAAAATTATATTGAAAATCTAAGGTCATTTATGAACGATGCGAATGACTTTATTGAAGAATGTCAGAGTATTTTATCCATAAAACACCAACAACGTATTAGAAATGGTAATGCTAATAATGATTTTCAAAGACCTAATGGTGATGTTCTTGCAAGGTTAATAAAATTATTTGATAAAATTCCAACTCTAAATTTCTCATGCTCTGAGACTGAACAAATTTTAGAGTTTAAGGTTGAAATCGAGAATTTTGATAGAGCTTGTCGTCTTCTTATTTCGAAACCCAAACAAAGCAACTCATTACAGGAATTCAATGACTTGATCAACCTTGGACAATCATTTGGAATTGAACTACCCGCTTTAACTTTTTTGATTAGATTAAGAGATAGGTTGCAATGGGTAGATACATACGATAAGATTCTTAAAGGAGGTGATCCTTATAGTGATAAAAAGGAGATTTTTTCATTGCAAGATTTAAAAAATTTCAGGGACGTAGGAATTAATCTACTCGGAAGAAGAGACATTGAAAAGATCAAATTAATTGATTATATTATAAATAAAAGTGAAGAAATGAACGGTAGGTTGATTGAGTTCTTAAGTTTTGATTATGTGGAATCGGTCTCGTTCGAGACATTGGATAGAATACTTACTGAACTTGAGAATAAATCTAAAGCTCAAGGGGAAGACCGGATATTTGTTTATCTCGATAATTACGAAAAGCTTATAAGCTTGAAACAGAATAGTCAACTTGTGGAACAATTTATAGATTTCAAAGATACTTTAGCATCCAATGGTAAGTTTACTATACAAGAAATAAAACAATTACAAACATCTATCATTGAATCTGGATTGAAATTTCAAATGGGGCTACTCGATAGTCATTTATCAAATGCAGAAGATTGGGTTTCAAAAGTTTGGAAGATTTTCAAGGACATAAAGATTATAACTGTACTTAATAGAGAAGTTAACTCTACAGATGGTATAAATCCTAAACTCAACATCAACGATTCCTTAATGGAGAAGATAGAACAGGTTATTAATAAAAATGAGTTTAGTTTATCATTAAAGTCAGACTCTTATTCAAAGTCATCATCTCATATTCATTATAAAGAAGAAAGTGACCCATTAGAGAATTCAGATCAGCAACAGATATATTGCTCATGCCGTGAATTTGAATTTGGAACAATGATAGAATGCGATAAATGTAAGGAATGGTATCATACTCAGTGTGTCAATGAGCCTGCGTTGGAGTCTGACAATAATAATGATGATAACTACTCCTGTCCAATTTGTAAATTGATTGACTCCGGTATCTTTACTGATCACTTTTTGACAAAACAAGTAACGTACAGACAACTTCTTGCATTAGTAGTAGAAGGAAAACAACTAAATGTGTTTCCAATCAACGAGTTAACTAAATTGGAACAACTATCCAATTTCGTCACAGATTACTTTAAAGATTTGAACCTTGAAATCGATAAGGTAAAGCAAAGTGACGAACAGCTTGCAAACAAAATCGATTATTTAAGATTCTTCTTGAGAAAGGTTTATGGTGCTGGTATTCTAATTGAAGAACTGCTCACCGACTTATTGAGTACCATTAGGAAGTATGAATATGATTTGTCGATCTTAAATCCGATTTCGACACCTGTTGGCCATGAACCTAATAATCAAGTCCCATTGGATAAAGCTTTAGATTCTACAAAAGTAGTAGGGCCTGGAAATCCAACACATTTGCTGAACAACGATCAACCTTACATGCCAGATACGAGTTTGCATGAATCATTTCCAAATATAAAGTCAGAAATAACTTCTTCTGCGAATATATTGAGTACTCATCCTAACTTCAACCAAGGAAACGAATCCCAAAACCCAAAATTTAAAACAATAGATGTTGATATAAATGCTTCCATTGGACTCAAAGATGACCTGGAATTATCAGCAACTGAAAAAAATACGAATGTTACAACGTTAAATAGTAAACCTTCAAACGCACAAAATACGGAGAGAACTGCAGATTTTGTCATGGATAAAGATAATAACCTAGAACCTGCAAATCAGATTATTTCAGAAGAAAGCGAACCGAAATACCCTCTACCTATGAATGCAGAGCCAGAAGAGCTAATTCCGTTTCTAGCTACTCAGATAGAACCAAAATCAAATGAAAGTAATATTGGTACGCCTGTCATTAAAGAGAATGATACGCAAAGTATAACAGCAGAAGGCATAATCAATGAACTTGCAAATCTGAACATAGATAATCAAGAGTAAAACATATATAATGAAATAGCTACAGATAGCTTGTCTAGCAACACGCGATTTTATCAATAAAATTTTATATAGTAAAATGTAAACAAGACACTGAGCGTCTCTTTAGAATCACTCTTATTAAAAATGAATAGGTCTATTGCTCAACCTATAGATAAATTGATAGATATATGCTGGTCAAAGACAATTGAAACGAGTATACCAAAAGATTTTATATATATATCACAGGCGTTTGGTCTAATAAGCCTATTGCAAGATTTAGTCTGCAGCAAAGAATTACTTACCACAAATGAAAAACAGTTACTACATAAGATGTCGTCCGACAAACCCCTGTTAAAACTATTCAAACATGAGTTGGTACCATTTATATTACGGTTGGTTAAATTTACTGATATGGAAAAATTTCTTGTGGAGAGAGGAGGAATAAGTCCATATGAGATTAGTAAAGCTGTGAACCGAAACAGCAAACCTTTCAGAAAGCCATTATCACCATATACTATGAAACTTAATAATGGAAAATCTCCAGCCAGACCTATATCAACATCTACACCAATGACATACAATCTAAGACCCGAATCAAAGCAAACCATATCACCTCCACAATCACCTGTAATGATGAGACCTAGGCCAGTTGACAGAAAGGAAATAAATGGACTCAGATCAAGCGTTTTCATGAAGGAACAACAGATAAATGATAGGGAGAACCAATATTCCACAGTTGCTGACGAGAACAACCAACTCTCATCGACTAACAGAATGCAACAACGAAAAATACAAACCCTAGAGATTGATATAAATAATTTAAAAAAATACGTTGAAACATTAGAATATCAGTTAGAAAGACAGAGCATTAACAATCCTAACACATTTAAAGATAGAAACATAATGAAAGAGCTCGTGAATAAAAACTCTGAAAACGAAAAGATTATTCTGCATTTAGAGAGCTTATGCGAGAAGCATCAAAAGGATTTGACGAAATACAAGACTAATGACCATAAATATGAACCCATCATTCAGAAACTAGTGGCGGAAATGAATAAGCAAGACGAATTAGTAGAAAAATTGAAATTGAAATTAAAACTAAATGAAAGCCCTTCTGATAATTGGGAATTGAAGACCTTTTTAAAAAAGTTGCCGTTTATCAAACAATATTATCTATATTGTAAATATCAGCAAGACCAGAAGAACTTTGGAATATTATTCATCAACATAGCTACATTATGCTTGACTTCAGTTATTTTGATTAATATCCTAAAGTTTGTTTTCTTCATTATCATTTATTTGTTTGATATGAATAGATCAACAAGTGCAAATAATTTACAGGAGTATGTCTACGACGATTATGGGCTTAACAATTGGTTTAGTTCCAATGAAGCAACATTTGTATGGTGGAAAGAGATAGAATGGCTAGAGCATGCGATTTATAGTTTAAGCGATTGGATAGGTAGTTAAAAACAAAATATGTCCATACATTTAATGAAAATTAATAATTATACACAGAATTATTTTGAAAGATACATTTTATAATTTATTATGAGTATACAAAATAATAAACAAGAAAATTCCATCTTTCAGTAACAGAAATAAATTAATCCAAGCTAATCAAATTTAGTTCATTTGCTTAACTAAGGCGTTAATGAATTCTTCTCTGTTACCGGTGTCACCACCTTGGATAAAGTGGAAGAATTTTCTAGCTCTGAAACCACCGTTTGGATTAGATAACTTGAATGGCCATAAGAAGTTGTTAGCTTGCTTGAAGTTTGGACCAACAGTGTAGATTTCGTGAATCAAATCTTCAATAGATAAGATACCGTATTTACCTAAGTTAGCTTCAATGATAGCGTTGTCAGATAAAGCGATTCTTTGCTTGTTGATCTTACCGTGACCTCTCTTGTAGACTAAGTGTCTGATGGTAGATAAGTTTGGGTAACCGTAAGCAATGTATGGTTCAGCTAATTTCAATAATTCAGAAGTGGCCTTGGTTAATCTGACGAAAACACCAGCGTTAATTTGGGTCAATCTTAATAATTGTAAAACCTTTCTTGGCTTTGGAGCAATCTTGTTAATACCCTTGATTCTGACAACGAAAACTAATTTTGGTTGAGCATCAACGTAGTAAGAACCAGCAGCCTTAGCATCACGCTTAGCCTTGATGACAGCACGTTCAGCTTCGGTGTATTCCTTTTGGTAAGAAGCAGCTCTGTCGAAGATAATCTTACGCTTTTCTTGGTTGGCCTAATTAATTGTTAGTAATTGTTATTCCAATAAACTTTGAATTGTCATAAGTAAAAGTTATTAAATATTTTCTCAGTCCCGAAAGATGGTTAATTGATCGACAACATCGCCGTAGCTAGTCAAATTCGAATGGTTGATTTCATCTTCAAAAATAATTAAGATGTTTTATGAGACACAAGACATGAAAACATCAAGTGACAAGTATTTATACATACAGCTTTACGAGCAACCTTGGCGGCAGCACGTTCTTCGGCGGTCTTTTGTTGAGCCTTAGATTTCTTGACTAAAGTTTCTGGTTTTAAAGTGCTAATAAAAGTTAGTAAAGTGTTCTTGTTGTCGCTCTCGCGAACGTACACCAAGTGGGTCGAATAACCCCGTTGCATTTCCTCTTAGAACTAATAAGTAGAGTTGGCAAATGCTATATGCGCCGGAAAAGCCCATATAGAAACAGAACTGAACAGCCACATTCATTCTGCTTCACATTTGTCCACACTCAGAATTAACTCAGAGGAAAGCAGATATATCAGGCATTGGCAATGGAGTTTTGGAATATATTCAATTCAGCTGCAAGATAATCTAACTTTCCCTTGGCATCTTTTTGATCAAAGTCAATGTATCCAAGAATGACAATGACAATACCCCATACATAGTATGAGATCTCTTGTTGCTTTCCATTAAACTTCTGTCTCATAGAATAGCAACTTCGATCGAAGTAAATTACAAGACCATAATACTGGTGAAAAATTTTTTCAATCTCATCTCAAGAATAATATTCATTAATAAATCTAGTCAAGAACGAATAGACATATTACTGAAAACATCTGGAGACAAAATCATAAATATCAAAAACCTAGTATATTATGATGCCGGTATTAAACTTCATACCTTTGTCGAAACAAAGAATTGAATCATTTTCCATCCATCCCAGACCAGATACATCGTTTGGTTTACGATGGTATTCAGCACTCGGGTATGTTTGAATTAGATATTACATACGAAGCCATCTTGTTGATCTAGTTAGTTGGTAATGAAAAAAATTATAATTTTCAAAGAAGAACATTTCTTAATTAGTACCGAATAGTGAGACTGAGCTCGCTAGGTGAGAGTGAAAAATTTTTGAAAAATTTTTAAACGAACGAGAATTTATCACCCGGATACAAATAGGGCTACACCCTTGGTGATTGGATGCATTATTGATGTACGGCTACATCAGACAATAGAGAATAGAGAGGCTAGATAATGTTTAAGTCGATTATATAGGTGAACAAAGTTGTTTAAAGATCTGAGATTTAATGATATGTGTTGGAGAAAATACTGTTTCCAGTAGAATCATGGTCTACTGCTTACAAGACATAATAAGATTAACGAACTGATATTGATAACAAACCTAACATTTAAACAGTATAAGTCTTTTAGCCTCAATAACCGTAGGTATAGTCACCTTGAATCCATCTGTTGACCATGTCTAGGGCACTTGCAGGCTGGTCATATGGAACCATATGGCCTGCGTCGTAGATTCTTAAGAAAGTAAAAATACCGTGGTTCTTAACTTCCCCGGCCAATTTCTTGTCTGAAGTATACCATGGCTGTAACGGCTTCAGTTCAAATTCTTCGTGGCCATTATATTCTAGAGCATCAGACCAGCCATGGTTGCCTAGCCAGTTGCAAATGAAGTCCTTGTCACCAGCATAAATTAAGACGGGAATGTTCTTATCGAGTAATTCAGCTACATATTGCTGGAATGGTTTAGCACCATCCCCGTTGAACAAGAAGTTCCTAAATACGGTGTCATCGCAACTGCTGAACATTTCGATGTTCGAGGCACCAACTGCATTCTTCACGAAATCGAGGTTCAAGTATTCGTCCACATACGCCAAATCTTCATAACACAAATCACCCTTGCATGTAGTTCTAATATCGTAAGGGTTTAAGCCGGTCTTTTGGTATGGTCCAAATAATCTTTCTTCACAATAGAAATTTGCGGGAACACATGTTAATGCGCTAGGGGTATCATAACAGATCTTTGTCAAGGCAGCACATCGTGGGTAGTCCTTTTCCATTCTCTCACATTCTTTATCAGTAACGACTTGTTTGTAGCCACCTTCACCACATGCCATTGGCTTGTAATACGCCGATTGAATGAGAGAATCAGTAATACCATTTCCGATCAATACAGAACTTAATTCAAACGACCTGTCTGCGTGATTAATAATTTCACTGGCGAAACTTGGGATATAATGGCCAGCATACGATTCACCAGCGATATGGAATGGATTCTTTACAAACTGTGGAAACTTCTGAAAGAATAATTCCAAGAATACGAATACATCTTTAGCGGCAGATGCAGTGCTCTTGATTTCCTCGCCGTTGGTATATGAGTAACCTACCCCCACTGGTTGATCCAAAAAGATAACAGACGCATTTGAGTTCCAAGAGTATGGATTATACTCTGGTTGTAATGTAGCATTGATCAGAGATGGTCCCAACTCAAAAAATAACCCGGTGGCTGACGAACACCCCGGGCCTCCGTTCAACCATAAGATAACTGGATCATTTTCCGGATCGTTTCTCGACTCAAAAAACCAGTAGAAAAAATGCTTATCCAAATCATTGACATCCAAATACCCGGTATATTGTTTAACAGTATCTAAACCAAGAACCTCGGGATTCGTTTCCTTGATTCTTAAAGTATGCTCCGCAAACCTCTCGGTTGACAAAACCTCAAAATCGTCACCAGAAGAGTATGACTTGAACGTTTCTTTAACCCTATTGTTCATATTTTTAGATGAAACCTTAAATTGGGAATTATACTCATCAATCTTTTTCTGTAACCTTTGAGGGGATAACTTCTTCTGCATCTCTTTCCAAGCATAGACCACATCTTCATCGAAGCTCTCCTTAATATTACCCAATTTTTTTCTCTGATCAGCCAAAAAATCGAATTCTTTAGGAATATCATGCTCAATTGCTTCCATTTCCGCATCCACCTTGAAAACCGACTGCTTAATCTCTTTCATGAACGGCATTCCGAAAGATAAGGCTTCAGATGTCGATACAACCCCCCAAACCCCTATTAACGTACTCAATTTCATTATTATTCTTATTAGCAACTATATTATAGAATAATTAGCAATTATTATCTAATTTGTACCTATTTGGGGTAATTTACAGAAAGAAAAGGTTTATCTATTATACAGTAACCATTAGGGATCTTTTGTGGTTAAGCCTATCTCGGCCTTCTTGCGACATCTACGACATATTTGCAGTTACCATCAAGTGAATCTTTTAACCACCCAGAAGAGGTATGTGGTTACCCATATATTGAGAATGCTTCTCTGAGGTGTTTTCTATTTGTCTGGATTCCCGGAAGACCTTTTTGATACCAATTTCGGAACATAAGAAGCGAATATTCAACATCTGGCAATTTCAAATATCATATAACACATTGCATAGGCCATCCAAAAATTGAATTATGATTGACAAGATAAATGTAACTGATTCCCTTCTTGTTTCTTATTATATATATATATATATATATATATATATAGTGTAGATCAACGAGTAAGGCTTCGAATTACATTCTTGCTATCGTAGCCTTCTATAGGTGTTGTTCAAGTAGTGGAAATTGCGACAATGTCGCAAAAGGTATATTTGCAGTTTCTGTCGAGATTCAAGTTTGCAGGTTACATTTACGTGTATGAATTTTTGATCAAGAGTTGTTTACTAGAGATTGGAGGTAACTAAGATCAACTAGCTATTATCAGAAAATAAAGATGGATCCTACTCCAGTCCCAGTCAGTGTAGTTTCTACGAGGAAGACATTAGCCATTCTGGCTAATGGAAACGTAGGTGGATATTTACAACATAATTTAATCGGAAGTGGGCATCAAGGACCAGAGATGATGACTCGCATAATCATGTCGTTAAAGTCGGGAATCCAAGAAGAGATAGAATGGGCTTTAACTTCGTTGTCTCAGATTTCATGCACATCACCGAACTTGGTGAATTTTGAAAAGACTCCATATTTGGCCCATGAGTTGATAAGTTATTTCATCAAGCCCTTCCAGATGATACTCGAGAAAAAGGACCAGTTGATAACCCAGGAAGAAATGCTGTTGAGTCTTGATTCCTTGCTTTCCTTAAGAAATTTGGCACAGGATTTGGTAAATCAGCAGTATTTGTCTCAATTGAAGACATTGAAAAAGCATCTCATTGAGGTGTTGAAGATATTTGTTCATTGGTTCTACGTGGGCGATGTCAGATCCCATTATTTAACTCGTTTCCACAACCAGTTCAGAGAAGGACTCAATTACTTGATAGATTTGTTAGAGCCGTTGAGTTGCTACTACATTGACAATACTAAAAACGACCCATTATTCAACCAATTATTATTTGCTTCTCTCCACACAAAAGACAAATACCTTTTAATTAATATCATGAGAATTATATCCCACTTATTATTTATTAAAGAGACAGCGGCCATAGCCAAGACTAGTGAAGGTGAAAATAACAATGAAAAGCAAGAAGAAGAATTAGAAGAGGAATTAAGTAAAACACCTAATAATTGTATTGACGCTATTGAAGAAGTCCATCTTGAGAATTTCGTATTCTTCTTATTAATAGCTGATAACGATCTTTCAATTGCCACATTAGAGTTTCTTAAGCAATACTTGTCTTCGGAGGCATTTCATCCATTATATCCAACATCAATCAAGGATTCTCAGACCTATAGATTGAAAAAACTCTTACAAATCAAATCTTCAAAAGCGATATATCAAACTTTGATTAAGGAATTACCTATTTTAATCATTTCCAATTTATCGTTAAACGACCCTTCGAAAATTCCAGATATGCCTCCATTGACTTTAACTAAAAGATCACAATACATAAACGTACCAACCGTGTTACCTCTGTTATCTAAACAATTGTATGATATAATTGTTAAATTCCCAGAGCCTTTGAGAGCAACTACGTGGTTACGTTGTTGCTACGAGCCATTTTCAAAAGCCAATGAAGCAAATGTTATATCAGATTCTAGTGATGTAATTCCAGGGGAGGTAACCCAAATTTCATTATGGAAAGCATATGAAAAGCAATTCGAAGAAGTGTGGCAAACATCTAAGACTCAACCAAACCCTGAATGGCCGCCATTATTACCGGCAGTTGATTTCATAAAGAATGTGAATTCAGCGTTCCCAAATTCCGAAGCTATGGTGGTCAATTTGAACCCTGAGTCTTTGGAACAGACACCAAAGAAAAAGTTTATCATCAAGGGAATTCAACCAAGACAATTTGTCGTTAATATCGACATTGGTAACTACGAAGCATTGAGACAAAAGCCAACTCCAAACTCAGACTCGGCTTTGAATGCCGATTCAAAAATCTTACCAATTGGTCATATAGATTTCGACAAGTTCCAGCACAATTTAAACAACTTATCTGAGGCGTTGTTGTCCCATTCTTCGCTCCTCAAGAAGGACCTGAAAGAAATCACTCCAATTAATTTAATCAGTCACGATTTGTTAGATTATATTATAAGTGAGGTCCTTGACAACAATGAGTCTGATGAATTACAAGATTTATTTAGACTCTATAATAGCCACTGGTTGCCAGACTTGATCTATTCGAATCCTAGTCTTCTTGAAGCCGGTCTTGTTAACAGTAAGTGGTTAAAATACTTACTTTAAATATGTATTATATTGATTATGTAATCGCGTTATAAAGTCAACTCATTTTTTTAGAAAGGATTTATAAATGCAAACTTGTTTTTTCACCTACTTCGAAAGATTTACAAATATTATTGACATGGCATCTTCGAAAATCCCACTTTCTGTTCGTATCACTGATATGGTACATAGGGGTACCGTCCTCGGATTAGTTGGTATTTGTGTTGTTGGTATTGGAAGTATAACTTTCAATATATATGCAAACTCTGATTTTGCTAGAATGAATAAGAATAAATTAGCTTTCCTGAAAGAACAATATGACCAGGCACGTACTGCTAATGATGAAGAAGCAGATAAATAAATATAATAAAATATGAATGGTTCTATGAACAAAAGGAATGATTCTACTAGTAGAGTACGGCGTGGGTATTAACTTCAACATGATTAAATGTTTGTATATAGTTTGGTTTTATTAACCTATTATTAGTATTTCTGTCTATGTATATACTGACTAACTTTCAAATTTATATGTCAAATATCATATTCAAATCTTAGTCTTTTTCGTTAAGTTCGTAGTTTCGTCTGCATCTTCACGCCTTTTTCTTGAATCAGAAAGACCCTTAGGTTCTGACGTATCTTTTTTCTTCTTCTTGATCTTCATCGGCTTCTTGGAATGGGTTAGTTTCAAATCCTGTAAGAGATTGAAAGTTCTCTTATTGAATTCAGTACGCTCTTTGACATCTCTTGGATTTAAAATAACAACATCGTACTTGAAACAAAACATCTCACCACAGTTAGGGCAGTCGAAATCTTTCATTCCGTTATCCGATTTATTGCCCTTTTCAGAAAAGTATTTATCAAGTCCTTCTAAGATCTTGAAAGAAAGTACACATCCGCATGGACGTAAATATGCATAAACTGTATTACTATTCAGTTCCTTCGTTACAGGACATTCAATAGTTGGTCTTAGACCAGCAGAATTAAGCTTCCAATTGACATGTACGTCAATAATATCTCTCAAAGAACGAAGATGACTGAATGGAGACGAAATATTAGTTACTTCATTACCCTTTGTATCGATAAAATCATTATTGTTACTCTTTTGCTTAAGCATATACTTCAAAACTTCCAGTTTGTCATATAATTTCCCTTTATAATCACCTACGATCACCGGATCTTCTGGGCCATATAATAGTGATGAAGATAAGGCGCATTTAGTTAGGTCAGAGTTTTCATCATCATCAGCTATCTGAACTTTTTCATTTTCTCCATTCTTTCCGTATGAATGTAAGGATAGTATATCTTGTCTTTTGGCTATAGTTCCTCCATCATTACCCATATTAGTTAAAAATCAGGTCCAAAATCGGTGTAGATACTACGTCAATAGGTCGAAATTTTTTTAGTGAGATTACAAAATTATATAGATCGAAATTTTTCGAAGTGCTGATTAAATAGAATATACGGAATAGATTATTAACAATAGCTAACACTAATTATGGCAACAGGACATCAAAGGAAGATAGACTTGACTCAGCTTCAACCTCAGCAAATAATTGAATTTCGTAAATCTACTGAACAAGAGATAAACCATTTCACTCAATCATTACAAGCCTTACAAACAGCACAATCAAGATTGAAAGAATGTATTAATAGTGTTGATAGCATGGAAAAATCAGATGCTTCTGAGTTATTAGTTCCATTGACTAGTTCTTTATACTTGCCGGGTAAGATTGCTAAGAAAGATGAGTACTTAGTTGATATAGGTACTGGGTATTTTGTTAATAAACTGGCTAACGAAACTAAATCGGTTTATGAAAGTAAAATAGAAAAATTGAATGGCGACTCCAAGAAGCTTAAAGAAATCTTAGTGCAAAAGAACGAAATATTGAATAGCATCAATTTGGTTTTAAGAAATAAAATGATTGAATATGAAAAGCAACAGCAACAGCAACAATAGGTAAGTATATGAATACTTCTAATTTACTAGATGAAGAGATATATAATGTAAAATAAAATAATATTGACTCTAATTTATGAGCTTCAGATTCCTGGATATACTAAAAGATAGTTGCATGTCATGTAGAGTAAACTACTACTTATTTACGTTTCTATACGTTTCAAATAATCAATTGATAAATATTTCATAGTTTCATTAATCGTATTCTTTATTATAAATAAACGGTTCCAGGAAGACAGACCTCATGTTCAGTAATTTCCTAGCACCTAAACCTTGAATATTATTCAAACCACCGTCTTCGTTGCTTTTGCAACTTTGCAAAACAATATTCTTGACTGATCCACAGTTGGCTAATAATTTAACTGAATCGGTTTTGTTTACTGATCTTATTCCTGTAAGGGTGTCCACTACGCACGCCTGGTACTCTAAACTCTTAGTACCCTTAATTGCCGACTTTACTTTAGAAGATGACATTTCATACTGTTTGCAGAAAGCAATGTAGTTTCCAGCCTCTTCAAATGACCAAGCTAACACCAACGAGAGATCTTGCTTAATACAAAGATTCAGTAACTTTCGTAAAATTTCTTGATGAGCATCGATATCGACAACTACTAATAATAATCTTAATACTCTATCGTTTGAAGTCTCGACTATCGTAGACCCCTTATTCAACTTCTTCAACCTTTGCCAAATATATTCTGGATGCAACTTGTGATATTTTAATGAAAGAAATAGTATTTGTAAAGTTGGATTAATATAATAATCTGAAAGAATTGATCCATTATATGACCAAGGTATACTTTTCATCAAAGAATTTGTTAAAAGCGGGTTTCCCTTCTGCGACTGTGATACCTGAACTGATGAATAGGTTTGTACATTGCTTCCTCTTGTATTTATTCTATTATTGCTCCTGGCAGTATTAGAGGGATTATTAATGGAAGTGCTAGAATCCAATCTTTCATTATTTCGTTGAGCTTCATGGTTTGAACTTTGAACGTTGGCTTTCACAGGTTCATCTGCACTTGGAACTTTATTAGTTTTGTCCGTTACATCGTTGATTGTATTCGCTGGTTGCGTCTCTCGTTGAGGTTGTAGTTCTGTTCGTATTTCGGATACATCTTCATGGTCATCAACATTATACTGTTCTCTCATACGCTTCACTCCATTTAAAATACTCCGAAATGAAGTTGAGTCTACTGAATCATTTCCATTTGAATTTGGCATTTCAGTATTATTATCTAAATATATTAATTTATTTATCTCTTCATATATCCCAGTTCAAAATATATCGCACCAAATTTTAAGATGGTCTGAAGTATTAATGTTGGCCATTTTTGCATCACAATGTAACTGATATATGCTCTTCAAGTAATATATGTATTATCTATTATGAAATTGGATTTCTCTTTAGGCTTAAAATGATGAAAATATTCACATATTTCAACTTAAGCTAACTTATTTTACTTATACATTTAAGACTTAATTATTGAATATATATATATATACATATAAATCACATTAAGCATTAATGGTAATGTCTATGTTTTTATCTGACTTAGCAGTCCAAACAACAATTAACAAACTGTGGAAACCAGCCATTTAAATTTTTAAAGGACTAAACATCCAGCGAAGATGAGAGCATTATTCGAAATACTCTAATCGCTCTTTGGAATTTCTCAGTACTATTCTTTAGTATGTGATCATAAAATATTCCTCACTTCATAGAAACTAAATTGGCGAATACGAATTATATTTATTGATGTTGGATTTCTTACGTGCTTTTGATTTGATTGCTTAATCTGGAGTTTTGCGGCAATCCCGCTGAGAAAATGCTACTTCCCTCGACCCGATTCAAGAAAAGTACTTCAACCCCAATAAAAAGCTCCAACTATTGAACTCTAAGGACATCTATGGGAAATGAATATGTTCTAATACCTAGGGAGCAATAATTTGAATTTCTTGCTTATTACTGTTGAAATATTGTAAAGTATGAGTTGATTCAAAGTAATTTAGTCGTCCGCGGTACATGGAATTGCTGGAAAGCAATTATAATGTACTAGCCATATAGATATATAAATTGTTGTATTTCTCAGACTGTTCTTTTTTCTTATTCGCTAGATTTCAATATAATTCAATATAATTAAATATAATTGATAGTTTTTTGTGAAAAATGGCTATTTCCAAGGTTCATTCCCGTTATGTATACGATTCCCGTGGTAACCCAACTGTAGAAGTTGATGTTACTACTGAAAATGGTTTATTCAGAGCAATTGTACCTTCAGGTGCATCTACTGGTATCAACGAAGCCATGGAGTTGAGAGATGGTGATAAAACTAAATGGCAAGGTAAAGGTGTAACAAAGGCTGTTGATAATGTAAACAACACTATTGCTCCACAGTTGGTAAAGTCTGGTCTTGATGAAAAGAATCAACAAGAAATTGATTCTTTCTTGTTGAAGTTGGATGGCACTGCAAACAAGAAGAATTTAGGTGCAAATGCTATACTTGGGGTCTCATTGGCTGTTGCTAAAGCAGGTGCAGAAGCCAAAAAAGTGCCATTATATAAACATATCGCTGATCTAAGCAATTCTAAACAAGACAAGTACGTATTGCCAGTCCCATTTCAGAATGTTTTAAATGGTGGTTCTCATGCTGGTGGTTCATTGGCATTCCAAGAATTTATGATAGCTCCAACTAATGCGCCAAGTTTTTCCGATGCATTAAGAATTGGTTCCGAAGTTTACCACCATTTGAAATCCTTAACAAAGAGTAAGTATGGCCAATCTGCTGGTAACGTTGGAGATGAAGGTGGTGTAGCACCAGATATTGAAACTCCTGAAGAAGCGCTTGATTTGATCGTTGCTTCCATTGAAAAGGCAGGTTACAAGGGCAAGGTTGGAATTGCCTTAGATGTGGCATCATCTGAATTCTATAAAGATGGTAAATATGACTTAGATTTTAAAAATCCAAACTCAGATAAGACAAAATGGTTGTCTGGTAACCAATTAGCTGATTTATATGAAAGGTTAATTGAAAATTACCCAATCATATCAATTGAAGACCCATTTGCAGAAGAAGATTGGGATGCATGGTCCAATTTTTATCCTAAAGTAGCCTCTAAGTTGCAAATTGTTGGCGATGACTTAACTGTTACTAATCCTATTTTTATCAAAAAGGCTATAGAGAAGAAGGCTGCAAATGCTTTGTTGTTGAAGGTAAATCAAATCGGTACACTTACTGAATCAATTAACGCAGCCCAACTTGCTTTCAGTGATAACTGGGGAGTTATGGTTTCTCATAGATCTGGTGAAACGGAAGACCATACCATTGCTGATATTGTAGTTGGTTTGAGAACTGGCCAAATTAAAACTGGTGCTCCTGCCAGATCTGAAAGATTGGCCAAATTAAACCAAATCTTAAGAATTGAACAGGAATTGGGAAGTAATGCTTTATATTCTGGTAAAGATTTCCATACTGCTCAAAATTTGTAAGTTTTATCTCCTATGCTAGATTAAAATATATAAATTATTACATTATGATTCGTAGGATATCAATCATTATTAATTTACTGATCTCGGCTTAATCAGAAATTTTGCAACAATTCTTTTAAAACATATTGCTCTCGATAAAGAAGTGACCAGATCTAAAAATTAATTCATGCAATATAGTAGTTGCAATTGTCTCCTAACCAAGACGAAAAGATAACTACTAAAATGGGATTATTGAGATACCTTAAGGAGCAATCACGGATATACACTACAGATAATGTGATAATGTGATAATGAAATTATTTTATGTACCCCCAATTTTCTATAAGAAATAGTTACTTTCAATTACTAGGTTAGGATATTGATATCTTTATCCCATTGGTTTGCTCTATTTTTGGCTACTTTGTAGGTGGTGAGTCAACTAATTGTGCTTATTCGCGTGTCTTGAAGAAATCAAATTTATCAAATTTATAGAAGATTCTATCAATTCGTCAACCAATTTCAACAATATTATGGAATTTTCTTTTAGACAAGCTACTTTAGACGATTTAGATTCAAGTTGGAAAATACTAGAAGATGCTATACGTCGTAGGAAAGATGATGGAAGTGATCAATGGCAAGATGGTTATCCAAATCCATCTGTTATAAAAGAAGACATAGAGAAGAAAGTTGCATATGTGCTAACTTGCAGCAATAATGTTGTGGGATATTGTACTATATTAATCAATGATGAACCTGCTTATAACAACATAGAAGGTAAATGGCTATCTGAAGGTGATTATGTTGTGTGCCATCGCGTTGCTGTCTCTCAGGGATATTTGGGAAAGGGTTTAGCTCAGAAAATTTTAAAGTCTGTCGAGGAATATGCTCTTTCGAGTCAGATTTATAGCATTAAAGCGGACACAAATTTTGATAACATTGGTATGCTCAAGACTTTTGAAAAATTAGACTATCAATACTGTGGTGAAGTTTTTCTTAGAGGAGCACCAAGAAAGGCTTTTGAAAAATTGTTGACTAAAAGCTAGTCTCTTTCATGAGTCGGAAGTTTAGATCTAATTAACTACTTAAGAAGATTAATTAATTCTATGATAAAAGTATAGATTCATATTGTGTTAAAACTAACTTCGAACTAAATTTGAACGCTTCTCTAGATTGGAAAATATGTTAAATTTATCCAGACTTTTAAAAGCTGAGCGGAAATGACAAAAATCCTTCTTTTTCTGATACCAATGTTAACCATTAGCGCTTGTATCAAAGTATACGACTCACTTCATATAAGATTTGTGCAACAGATCCATTATTCATCAACGACTTTTTCGTATGCTTATTTACATCTCCATCGCAGTATATGTCTTTGTTCTGTTTAAAAGTATTGTCCTCCTTAAATGCCACTTCATATTTCTGAAACATTTTTTCTGTAGCTTCAGTTGACAGACCAAAATATAATGATTTATCGTCAGGATCTTGCAAAAACTCAATCATGAGCGAACATTGTCTTACTAATTCTTGCTTGAATTTAGAAAACTCAAGGTCCCAATCAGTTAATGTTAACAAATCCACATATCCGGCGTAGAGTAAGTGAATATACTTTAATTGATTATTCCAAATTGAATTTCCATTATACAATGCACCTTTTTGATTCATTGCCGCCTTACCTATAGCAATTGCTTTGGATTTCCAATCCCTTTTAGAACTATACTTACTTAAATATGCCAATGAGCTTAACGCACAGCCGGCTGTATATGATAATTTTCCTTTATTGACATCATTATAGTTATTCTTATTTAAGCCATCGAAAAATAGCTTATCAGTATCCTGAAAGTATTCAAACATAAAGTCCATACAATCTTCAGCGAACGTTAACAAAGCACCATCTGATGTTACGCTATACAATCGTAATGCAGCCAATGCGGCTTCCACCGTAGATATAGAAGCAATATAATCTGCATTGTATTTCCATATGACACCTCCTTTTCCTTGACTATTCCACTGAGTCATTAAGAACAGCATTACCTCTTTTGCTGCGTCTAAATGCTTTTCGTTTCCAGTAGCTTTGAATCCATCAACAAATACCCAGACTAATTGTGCATTGTCGTCATTATAAATATCATCGTCTCCCGCAGTTGTAGCAGAATAAACACCTAGAGCCGTGTTCTTATATCTGTAGATTGCCTCAGTTACTTTTTCAATCTTTTCTGTATTCTTTGAATCAGTTATGGCCCTTCCTATGACGGCTTGATCCCAAACAACTGGCTCAGAAAATTGGCTAGTGCCACAAATTGAGTCATCATCGTTCCATTGACTTTTTTCGAACAGCCAAAACCTATCCCACACTTCATTTAGAGTATTTTCAAAAGAATCTTTTGGAATATTATTTGTGTATGTACTTGTAGTTATACTTGATACTGATGAAGATTTGCTGCGAGAGCTCTGGGACGGACTTTTGGTTGAGTGATGCGAAATATCGCTCGCAGTCAAAGAAGTTGCAATTGTTGAACTTGAGCTGGAACTTGTTAAAGCACTTATTTTTTGGGAATTTTTGGTAATCTCGGATACAGCGTTCTTTACGTTGGTACCCAGAGGTATGTATGTAGTAGAAGTTTCCGAAGTTGCATCTATCGTAACCGTTTCAACGAAAGTCTTGTAAATTGTTACCATTTCTCTTTTGGCACCTATTGGAATTCCATCTACAATAGTCAAAAGAATTATTAAAGGAAAGAAATACTTAAATTTATTGCAAAACATATTCAAAGGTGGTTAATGTAGTCAACCATTTGGTATATGAATATGAAGTTTCCAACAAGTGGATCTGTAATCTGCTTTTATACACCGTTGGGCATTAATCATGTTTCAAACACTCTATACTTGGCATACTACGCAATGGTCACTAGAAAAATAATGTCACCCAATTATTTGGGGTTATTACAAGATACGAAGTATAAATTAAGCCCTTAACATGTATGAAACAATCTGGAACATCTTAAACTTGAATTTTGTTTGGAATATTTGCGACAAGAAAAAAAAATCCTACTGGATTCAAACAGATCTACAATTTGATCCATACAATGCCAAAAGTATGCACAAAGCATCCACTTCTTAGTAATCCAATAAAATGGTTAAAAAATAACAAATATCACTCAGCTGAGTTTTATTCGACATCATATTATGATACAGATTCAATTAACTCAAATCCCTTTGCACAAGCACTCACAGATACTAAAATGGATGGATCAAGAATCCGATACCCTAAAGGTCAAATGGTACAGTTGGTGGTAGATGAGTACTCAGAGGTAACATCTATAGATGCTGCACGATTATCCGAAAGTAAGAAGTATTTCCTTGTGCCTTTGATTAATAAACCAGAACAAAACTCGGTACTTTATCCATCGCATTACATATTGAAAAATCAGCATTATATTGATTACATAGTGAAAACAAATCAATGGAGGAAATACGTGCCACAGAAATTCAGATTCAAAAACGATAAAGCCTTAGGAGCAAAAGTTAATATCTTACCAGATATTGCTAAGATAATTCCCCACGTTTATGAACAAAATATAATCAGGTTGATGTCAGAAACAAGAAACTTAGAACCTTACAAAGGCCTGTCCAAAGAAAGTGGTCTTGTTTTAAGTTTTTCCAAAACCTCAAATGAACCTGCAATTTCCTTCCACAATTCGCTTCCTATTGTTAATATGAAGAGGATTATATCAAAAAACGAAATTAACTTACAAAATGAAGAGTCATTTATTCCCTTCGATGGAAATAGTGATTTGTGCTTTAACATTTTTTCATTAGCAAGTTATTATAGTTAATAATATTTATTATGGAATATCCTTAGCTTTTCGGTGTAAATGGCCATCAAACTTAAAGTTCTAAGGTCATATTTACAGTTATTTAATACGATTGAGAATTTTAACTTCTTTTAGTGAGAGATTAAATCTCTGTATGAAGAAGGATAGAGCCATAGATGATAGAGATTATCGATTTACCCAAATGATTCAATCCTATCAGGAAAATCCATAGACCTCTTAGATTGATGACTAAATTCTTCATTACTAGGCTTATTGAAAAGAATAAGGCTGATATAACTATGCTTTATTCACCCTTTACGAATTCTAAGTCTAATTTAATTGTCATAAAGCATCTCCGAAGCAAGAAAATGGATCGGCCTGGATTCCGAAATGTACCGACCGGCTTCAGCTAAATGTTTTCAAATCATAAATTTCCCCTGGATATATTACAAGCTATACCTTAAGTTTCTCTTGAGTTTCTCTTGATTCTGTATATATGTATATAGGCAATATGTATTTGGCATGTAATATTGGCCGGGCATAAACCTTGGTTGTATGACAGATTTAGGCTGCATCTTTGACAGGCAAGGAACAAGCAAACTTAAGAATATAGCAAAATCAGAAAAGGGTTCAAATATGCAATACTCTCATCAGCATATTAGCTAAATACGTCTTTATAGAATCTAAGCAACTTGTTTAAGCCATTATCATTAATGTCTCTATTGTACCTGCATTTCCTCGGATTTGCAGCTATGAAAAATTCCTATTATCCATTTAGTCAACTATAAATCACGATATATATGTTAAAATTAATTATCGATTATTCTTAGCTACTCTCTTGCATTAGATGTAAGTATATAGTATTTTTCACCAAGAACTGACGTATGTATATTGTTGCAAATGGCAATATAGAAAACAATGGTCGTGTGCTCCGGGTCAAATCAACTTCTGAAAAAATACTTCGAATCCAAAGCTTTTGGTATACTTTATATTCAAACTTGTCAACTTTTATTATTTAGCTGCATTTCCACTCATATTATTCAACAGAACATTTATATATCGAAATATTTAAATATTTCCTTGTTTTCCTGAACTATATTTTTTTTTTCGTTTTGTTGTACTTAAAATTTAATAGTTGCCTTTAACTTGAGTGCAAAAATTTCATAATATGGATGCTGTTAGCCATCATAATAAAGCGCATTCCATGACTCCAGGCGTGCTTTCTGAAACCATTTCATCAACGACAGTATTGCCTCCTACTTCAATAAGAGATATCACGGCATTAATATTTATTTTACTAGCATTACCCCAATCAGTTTCTTGTATAATATTAACAACATATATTTTATCGGGGAGTACCAAATTCCTTGGCGGGAGGCTAATTGTTAAACATTTATTACGAAGGAATCGATATCATGACGATTTCTATAATGAGAGATCTGACAATTATGAATTTTCCCGAAAGAACTTGAACTACAAGTCAAAGTTGATTGGTTCGGCATTACAGGCATTCTCTATAAATGCAATCATCTTATTAACTATTCATTATTTTTTCCCTAAAAGATGGCTTCAATACTTATCTATATTTGCAAAATCCATCATAGCTTCCGAGTTGATAGGATCCTCCACAACTAACTCAACAACCATTACATCAATCACATCAACAACTACAACAAATACGACTACTACAACTACCATAAATAATAAAAAGATAAATCCAAATAATAGAATTACATCCGAAAGCAAGTATTTCAACAATCATATCTGGAATGCAGTTGTTTGCTTCATTACAGTCCTATATATTAGTTATATAATGCAGAACTGGTTATTGCTTATAGATATGAATCAAGTTCAGTACTTGTTTTCGAATCTTGCCTACGATATGAGACTGTTTATCAAGCATCCAATATTGATATTCAATCCTAATACCCATACAAACTTATTATCCCAGCTTTTCCATGCTGTTTCGCCATTTTTATTGACTTCACGAATATTTAGTGGTTCAAAACATACATCCAAGAATAATATCAACGTACAGTACTTTTTAAATGGTGGGCATTACATAGATCCATCACTCAGTCATAATTGGTCATATAACATTATAATGCGTATCTTGAAGTCCAATTTTAAGTTGAATGATACTTCGCTTATTATTGTATCGAAAAGCTTGACAACTTTTTCGATGATAATAAATTACGTTAATTTAGTCTTATGCATTCATGTCATTATTTTAACTATTTCCCCTATTTTGAAGAAAACGTTTTTATTAAAACGTTATTCCAAGACATTAGATCATTTATCAAATTTAACTCCTAACGTTCCAATTGATTTTAAGAGAAATTATTTGTCTAAAAATATGCTCTCATCAAACCCTGCAGCAAATTTGTCTGTTGTATCATTAAATGAGGCTTCATCCACTTCAGATACTCTACCAATAGTTGTAAATGTTGAAGAACCAAAAAATGATATGCTTGAGGTAGAAATATCTCATTCTATATCGAACTCGTCGCCTTGTGCTAAAGACGAAAGCTTATCTAAATCAAATTTTTCATCAGCTGCAGCAGAGAATTTTCAAACATTTTGTATCACTCCTTTTACGAATAAATTACCAAACTCCAACTACACTCTCAAGTCACATAAATTGGTAAATTTAACTGATCATTCTACATCGAAACCCAATAAGCAGATCCAGGCTCATGCTTTATCCCAAAACCAAACACAACACCCGACACCAAATTCCACCACTATAATCGATAAAAACCTCATCAATGTTACATCGACCCAACCTTTTTGGGCTGTTCTTGCTGCATGCAAAGCAATGTTTAAAAAGCCTAGTTTGTTTGCAGGAGATACTACCAGATGTAAAAATAACGGAGGCAAGTTTATCACATCAACAAATCGTTCCTTCGAAACTATGTTGTCTACTATTTTTATAGACGACACCAGAGTAGTTTTTAAAGTTCTAGAGGTTGAAATTTTTGAACTGATCGTGCCTGATTTGACACGTCTCAGTGTGAAGGTTAATGGTATTAGATGGGCACATATGGATATTTATGAGGGATTGATTGAAAATGAAAAGGCCCTTTTTATTTGCGTGTATGGCTTAAACCCATTATTCCAATATGAAATTGATCTTTATGAACAGAATAAGGAAGGGAACTTATTGGCTCATTTCATTATCAATACTGTTTCCTCAAGTACCAAAGCTATTTTGAACAAGTCTCCGGAAATCACGTCTTTGATGACTTTGCAGTCTAGTTTGATGTCTACTATTGAAAATTTGAATCAATTCAAAACCAGATTCAAGAGACTAAAAAAGGAGGAAAATAAAAAAATATCTGATGCGAAGAAAGATATAGATAATTTAAAGAGTAAGATATCGAAATACAGCCACAAGCAATCTAATGATGGCAGAATTTCTGGTAAATTGAAAGGGTTGCAGCATTCTGTTATTCAATTAGAAAATGAAATTAAGGATTTAAAGAACGAATTGCAGAGATCTGACTCATTGCGGCAAGAAAGCGAATCAAATTTCAAAGTTGAAGAAACCAAATTGCTAGATGAGATTGACCAACTAAATCAATTTATAAATGAATACGAATCTTCCATGAATGAATACAGATCAAAATTGAAAAGCATTGGGTATGAAAAGCAGCAATTCTTAACGAAGAAAAATAAGTTAGTTAGTAAAAAGGAGGCAAGAAATGAAGAATTACAGAAGATTTCGAACGATATTAAGTATTTAAAAAAGAGTGGCATTATTGGGAAACTCCATAGAAGAAACAAAAAGGTTCAAGAAAAATACGACTTTATTTTACCAAAAGTAATAAATGCAACTGCAGATTTACAAAAGGAATTTGAAGAATTCTTATTAAGCGGTAATAATGTCAGTGGGGATGAAATGATTTCAAATTGTGAATAGATTATTGATAGTAAATAAATAATGTATATTATGATTCGTTCCTAGTGTAGCCGATTTTAATGTATTTAGTATTCACGCAATGCATCACCAATTTTATGAAAGCTTCTATCGTAGTAGAGCAATCCTCCTGTCTTATCCTCATTATGTGCAATATTATAGTTATTATTAGGGCTGGTAATCTCCAATACTTCCACTGCCCAAATTTCATGGGAATCGACTTCAAAAACTTGTCTTTTTTTACATATAAATACTCTTTCTGCTTCTTTGATTATTGGTATACTCAATTTGTCTGTAAACTTATATTCTTTCCAGTCATCATTTGAAATATTGTTAAACGGTGTAGTCATTTCATGAAAAACGTCTCCATCCTCTAATTCCTGCTCAGAAGTGTCTAAATATGTATAATTCAACTTTTTCGTTTCTCTTTTCACTCCACTGGCAAAGATTCTTCCTAGTCTTACCGCTTTAGGTGTCGGTGGTAATAAATGAATCGCCAATATACCATTGTTCTCATGTAATGATTGTGAAGTATAAGAAGGTAAATGAAGATTAAATTGTAATAAAGGTATAGGACTCGTTGATAAAGAACAGACTGAAGACAATGTCATTCCATGCAATGAAGTTTTATTTCTTGTCGTAGCATCAAATCCAGCTGTCAAGATCATCGCCTGTGAGCTTATCCGAGACATTGATGACTTGAATAGTTCCCTAAACTGGGATCCTGAAGAATACAGACGAATACTTCGTATCATGTGTCACTTATTCAAAATATTACACTGCGTATCCTGGAAAGACGGAATCAATAGTAAAAAGAGAGCTTCTATAAGAACTAAAGCTCTATGTCTTGCGAATATACGCCATGCAGTGGAAAAAAAAAAGAA